CCCGGGTAGCTTTGAGGTACAAAAAAATGCCTCGTTGTGAACTGGTAGGCACTGAAAGCGAATAGTTTTCAGCGAGCAAACTACACATACGGCAGTTGACCTGCAATGCCGTCTACTACAGCATCCATGTAAGGTATGGAAGTCCGAGTGTTGGTTACTGATGGGAGAGAGACTCCATCGCCGAGTATTTTCGTTCGCATTAATCCCCATCAAAGCTAGATTTTTCAACATCTCGTTCATATGCGTCATAAGCCTCTTCTATGAGCGCTTAGAGCGTACTTACGAGCGCGTTATAAAAATCGTGCTTGCGAACTTCAATTCCTCGATAAAATGTCCGATAACGACTTCGCCGGGGTCCGAAACATAAGAAGATCAATGAAAATATATGGTTATTTCCGGTTCGAAAAGACGAGATGTACAGTATGTATGTGAAAGCTCAACGCCGAAAAGCTGAAATCACAACAGACGGCCAGAATATAATCCACTTGACTCTTACATCCACTATGTATGTATGTATCTGAGAGCACTCTTCAATGAATCAATCCCGCGCCAAAATCCTTACAAATATTATAAATCCGAAAGTGAGTTTGTTTATTTTTTACGCTTTCACGCTTTAACCTCTTTAACCAATCATTATGAAATTTTATACACTGGTGTCATTTAGTCCAACTTAAAATATAGGATACATTTAATCGCGATTGTGCAAGAGGGCGTGGCACATCCCATACAAACGGAGTTTTTCATACTGCATATCGCACGAAATATTTGTGATAGAGTACTGGAACTTGGTATAGAGACATATAAAATCAATTCCACAGTCATAGAGGAGGGCTGGCACCTATTTAAAAAATTAACTTCAACTTGAATTTAGGGAATTATTTTTTTGAAAGGTATATTAAAAATGGATGTCAAGAAGCTTAAAAAGTTGTGGTTTGAAAATATTTCAAATTTAAATTAATTTTTCGCAAGCTATCTGAAAAATAAAAATATGGGAGTCAAGCATATATGTAATACTTCTATATTGGCAGTAAGCTAACTTCTCAATGTGTAAGTATTCCAGAATCAAAGCGAGACAGTCTAGTACTTTTTTTATCAATGTATTGTGTACTTGAGTGCCGTTTTTGTTTATGTGTTGTGTACATGTTTATTTATAAACGTTTGTGTTCCTTTTCTTTCGTACGTGTTTATTGATATATCTGTACTGTAGTGTTTTCGGACGGTACTAGCTCTTACTGCCAATATAGGAGTATTACATATATGGAGTCAAGCAAAAGATTGTAAGGAAACCTTCAGATTGTACATTTAGAATTGTATTGTTTAAAAATTATATTCAATTAATTTAAATAAATGACTACAATATGGGTGTCAATCTAGCTGTTTTTGAAAAGGGTTTTAGTTCTAAACAACATGAAGGACAGACAGTTGCCACCCGAAAAAGCCAAATTTTACTTGAATTAATGGAATTAGATAATTGGAATATGTATAACAATATGGTGATCAGACCAAAGGTCCTTAATAAAGTTTTAGTTGAAAATATTTTGGAGAGGGTTGCCACCTTTTTTAAAGTCGAATTTAAAATAATTATACTCAATTGAAGTGTCAAACGTAAGAGTGCTTAGAAATGTTCAGATTGAACATGAAGAATTTTATGAGGTATTGAAGACCACCTGTCTTAAAAATAACTTCAAATGCAGTAATATTATATGTAAGTTAAATGAGTTATTAAAATATATGTAGGTATTAATCGAAAGTCTTGAAAAGGCCCTCTTTCTAAGCTATATATAATAGCAGGGTTTCCACATATTTGAAAATTCAAATTCAATTTTAGTTAAAGGAATTAGGTAATTCAGCATATGCACGTATCACAATAGTGTGCGACGAAAGAGGTTGAAAAAGGTTACCAACTGTTCAGAAAGATAAATTCAAACTTTTCAATAATTTCAATGAATTATTGCAATGGAGGTATCAATCGAAATGGTTTTGAAAGGGCTTCATTTCTAAACTACATGTAAGAGGGTGATCCGCATTTTCGTATATTTATATTTGAATTCAGGGTATAACTAAATTGTAAAAGTATCACAAAAGAGAGGTTTAAGAAAGTTTTAGTTTGAAAATATTTTGAAGATGGTTAAAATCATTTAAAATCTCCTGTTTTTGGCATAGTTTAAGTATGTTGAGATTTCGAACACTCAGCGAAGTGGGTGATGGCGATCTAGTGGAGCCATATTTCTCTCTGATCACATACCGCCGTTGGATTCGAATTTCAAAAAGCCCGAGAGGAAAACTGGTATGAAGAGGAATGTCACGAAGCTGAAAAAGCCACGCTGAAAAGAGGCGATTCACTATCATACGACTTCTTGAATGCTGTAGCAGATAATACTAGCTGCAGGACTAAATCGCTCAGGTATAATCTTTTTCAAGAGCACACAATTACTGTATGAGCTTTGCAACGATAAGGACATAGTGCAACGGATGATGCCCAATTTACCAATGAGGTATTTAACCATGTGCCATCACCACGTGTAATTGATATTTATATTTCATATTTAAGAATGTCTAAGTTTTCCTAACGTTTAAAATAAACCCCATTAAAAATTATTCTATATCTATTGTAAGTCCTTCCAAAAACAACAAACACATTCACAATTTTAAGAAAATAAACATTTTTGAATTTAAAAAATGTTCAATCGGTTTACGCTTCCTATTCTTATGAATGCGAAATGCTTCATTTGAAAACAGGCAAAATTACCAAATATGACTTGGTGTAGCCGCCACCTGGCACGGCCTTTTGGAAATATGTATGCTGTATATTTTACAAAAATAAACATTATCCATTTCGAGAAGCGAGATTTATTATTAAAAGCATCACTGCAAGGCAATGCATTTTATTTTTATGATACTAAAATAAAACAAAAAGCAAAAATAGATCAGAATACATTTAGTTACAATATCTGTGTGTTTATGGATGTATGTATATTTGCATATGTACATTAGGGTGCATCATACAAAAAAAAGTTGCGGTTTTCCACCGGAAATACAATTTTTTTTTATATTTAAGACTTCTGCCAAACTTTTGCGGAAAAGCATGAGCTTGGCCGATTTCAAAATACCTCCATATTTGACATCGGGGGGGCAAAACTACATCAAGTGCCATTAAAATATATTAAATTTCCCACTGACTTATAGGCAACTATGACCACTTTGTGAAAAATTGCATGAAAATGCTGAACTTTAGGGCCTTTCGAGCCATGTCTTTCCGTTGTCGTTTCTATGACCAAAGGAACATTTCTAGGGGGAGTCTTGCTTTGTAGCTTAATAAACAATTTTCTCCATACAACCAAGGCGCAGTCTAATGTGCAGACATGAGCAGAGAACGAGCACGCAATGGGCTAGCTTTTCTCAATATTCATCGCAATCTGGGTATTAATGACGACTCAGTATTTAAAGAATTTTAATCTATACTTCGGTAAATTGCATGTGACTTTTTTTTGAGTTTTGCTAAATTATATCCATAATTAAATACAATATGCTGAATCTCTAAATAAAACAATGATATTTTTGGTTGTTACGAATGACTTAAGATCAGGGACGTGAACCGGATGAAAAATTTTGTCGGTTCGGTTTAGCGGTTCGAACCGTTTTTACACTTTTGGATTGGTTCGTCAACGCGGTTTTTTGGTCTTTGAACCGGGGTTTCGGTTCGGTTCAACGGTTCGAAAAACAAACAAGTAATAAAGTCTAAGTTCGGGCGGAGCCGAATATTAAATACCCGGCGCAAGTAATAAATATATGATTTTCACCTTTCCGAAAGCCACCGCAACATGGTAAGCCGGGTGTATCAATTTTGAGTAATTTAGCTCCTTAAATTTCGAAATATTGAAGTTTCAAGCATTTCTAAAATTTACCGTTATATGAAAAGCGGCCTCAATTTTAGTCTGATTTCAATAATTTTCAACGCTTTGCTTTTATTTGGCAAGCACAATAGCCATACCGAGTTTGGTATAAATTGGTAGACCGGTTACCGAGATACATATGTATATGTGATCATAAGTGGGCGGTGCCACGCCCGTTTTCCAAAATTTTATTATAAACGTATTTCTTTTGTCTTTCTGTCACATGGTAGGTATTACCATGTTTAACAAAAAGAAAAAAAGTGGGTTCATTTATCTATTAAAACTTGGTTGAAACGAACCTTTAAACCTTTATGGAAAGCGGTTCGGTTTTCGGTTCGGATCAAACATTTGTGGAAAATTTCGGTTCGGTTAATGGTTCAGTTAATTAATAGAAAAAAGCGGTTTCCGGTTCAAAACCGGTTCGGTTCAGAACCGGTTTACGTCCCTACTTAAGATAGAACTTGGCCCCCCAAAAGAGGAATCGTGCGGCCGGCCCTGCACCCTAATATACAAAAATGTTTCCAAAAATATAATTCTAATTTTCTACTTAAAAACGACTTCAAAATTTGAATATGTGCGCGCACTCATCTTAAAATATTCGTGCCAAAAGCATTTAATTTCATTTGAACTAAATTCGACAACAGAAACAAATATATATACATATATATATAAAGTGTACGCGGTTTGAAAAAAACTTAAGAAAAAAAAAACCAAAACAAAAATGAAAGCAATTATGTAAATATCGGACAAAACCCGACGCGAATTTCTTTCAATTTTATTTCGCATTCACCTTACACTTCGTATACAGCTTTTGTCTAGCTCATCAGTTAAGCTGCAAAGTTGCCTGCCCGCCCGGTTTTCGTACACCTGCCTAGCCACTTCTGCTGCCCACCCAAAACACCTTGTGACTCGTTGTCCAACGTCCGTCCAGCGTACATCGCATTAACCCATTTGAATTTACATACATATAACAGTATTAAATTAAAACCTCATCGCATCAACAAACTTACTTATTTCACGCTACAAAAGAATCTGGCATTCCAACCCACTCTTTATATAAATGTACATAATATGTATGTAAGTATTTTGTCTTCGGTATTCACTCACCTCGGACGAGTCTGTTGAACGCCGCCAGCCTTGCACCATTTCGAATGGATCCACAACGGTTTCTTCCTCAATAATACCGTCTGGCGTTGCACTTTCCATTACATATACCAAGTCCACTTCTTGCGGCGCTTCCGGTCCATGCTGCGCCTCATCCATACCAGTCACATGCACAGCCCCGGCCACACCAACGACATCGGCCATATCTATTGCCACCCCCAAGCAATCGCCGGCACCATGCACACCAGGTGTGTCCATTGCTATGTCAAGTATTTCGCTTACACTTTCTGTCACTGTCGCTGTGGTTCCTTCTTCCCTGCGGCCATTCTGCACTGGCGTTGTCCATGGTGATGGTGTGGGCGCGGGTGTTGGTGGTGTTTGTGTTGTCGTAAGTGTTTTAAATTTTCCCAAAGTCCCATTACATTTTGCTGACGGCGCTTCATTCCAACTGCATACTTTGCGCGACTTATCTTCGATTGCCCTATTTTCTACACCAGCTGTGCGCTGACGGCGTAGCTGATATCGTGGAACGCGAGATTTCGCGGCATTGGCGGCGAGAGCGGCGGTGGAGCCGCTTTCAGTGTCACTGCTAGCGTCAGCAAGAGCGCCTACGGCAGCGCCGCAATTATAGTTGTTGTTCGTGTTGTAACTGAAAGCGCATTCATCGCCATCAATGCATTCTACATCAATATCAAAATCGTCGATGGCAGGGGCGACGGCATTAGCCGCGTCAACGTAATAGGTTTCCATTTCTGCGCACGTTGTTTGTGTGCTCTGTTCGCCTTTCCCCTCCGCGAGCGGCGGCGTTTCCGATTGCTGATACAGCGCACTGATCCGCTCCGCGTGCACCTCGCGCATATGCTCTATAAAAACATCGAATTGCAAGCAAATACCAGCGCAAAAGCAACAATTCATGCCATAAGTTTGCGCATCGGGGGACACGGTAATTTCGCCACATTTTCGAAAGCAAGCAAAATCCTCCAATTGCCAGTTGTTGACTTGTTGAGCCAGCAGAGTTGAAGACACAACACTCATCGTTGCGGACGCCAGAGGCGAGCGAGCGCGTGCGAAAGTGTAGCCGCCTAGATAATAGTTGGGACGAAAAATTTAGCCAAAGAAGGTGGTAAAATGATTATGCGCCGCCACCCAACAGCAAAGCCCGGAAAACTTACACACACACGCGCACGTACGTACTATACCCTGACACGCGAAAGTGATTTATGCGCGGAAGACGCGGCGATACAAACATTTATAGATACTACTCCAGCAGTGGCGCTTCCGATCAACCCTATCAAGTGTATACGTTGAAATACGCCCGAAAAAAAAACACTTCTAACGCTTACGCTTTTACGCACGCTGACGTATTTTTTCTTCCTAAAATTTTCTCTACTTTTTATTCGTGTAATAAATAAGCGCGTTCACTTTTCTTTGATTATGAATTTCATTTCCTTTTACACCAAAAATAAAATATACACACTAGCCAAGGTTTTTGTTTATTAATCAAAAGACAGGCAATTTGTAACGTCCGTGCGCGCCTAGTGCTACCAGCCAACCGATTCAATGTTACTCGTTCCACTGCCGGCCATCAACTAACTAGTTCCAGCTGATGGCCGCAACTTCGGCATAGCGAATACTCAAAATCGAAAACACTTTCTGCGCTGCTGCGCGTCACTGGCGGCGGCAGGCGCGCGCTCCGCCTCTCGTTGAATGTACTACGCTACGCAGTGTTTATCAAGCTTTGGGGGGCTGGTAGCGCTGCTGCTACCACATACTACTACTCGCAAGCAGACGAAAAGCGTCAGCATTTTTAGGGGTGTGAAAGCGAAGTTGGGCCAAAGAGTCGCATATAGAAGTACTACGTTTGTTAGTACGTAGCGCATCGGTTGGAGCACGGATTGGGAACAAGAAATACTAGATTGAAAAGTAGGTAAAGTGTGTATTAGCAGGAGGAAAACAAGCGTTTTATTGTTGGAGATTGCTGTTTGGCATTCGAATTGTGAGGATCTCTTATGAAATCGTTATGCGTCAACACAATTAAGTAGGATTACACACATATACCTATGTATGCATATACATAGAGGCATGAACAGCCCTCTGGTTTTTCATACAGCCGTACTCGTTAGTCTTCCCTGTCTATCATCACAAAGTATGATATTTATTTGCTTACGTTTGACGGTCGCGCCACAAAAAATTTGTTCGAAATCTCAGGGACGTACTTGATTAAGTAATGAGGGGTTTCTACGCCGTCATTCATCAATTCTAATTTGACACTCAACTGTCTGTTGGGGCCGAGGAGAGTTGGCGCTGGATTTTATTTGAATACCCTACAGTTGAAGATATAATATGGTCTGCCTGTCGACTGCAGTGTCTTTCAAGCCGTGAGCTTTGCTGCTTGTCTAATACAAGTACAGAGTTTTAGGTATCTATCAGGCGAAGTACACACTATCTTTTTTGACTAAGCGGTTCAAAGTCCTGAAATGAAATCAGCAATGCGGATAACTTCCTGCAAGCAACGATTGATGGTCTACTGAGGGAAACTGTGGAGAATATCACAGCCGTAACAAAAGACCTATTGACCAACCGAGCCGACTTTGAGGAGTCAAAGTGTTTATGGCCGAAGGTGAAGAAGTCAAATATTCATTCTCTGGTGAGGAGGACGCTAACCAGACCGTGGTCGGTTGTCCAGCCAGAGCATGCAAAACTGCTGGTAGGGATTGCACCCCCTCAAGCTCGCATCAGCCGTACTTCTCCTTCGTCTCGCCGAAAGAGAAGAGCAGATCGCGCTCATCCAGGAACCTTGTGTCATAAAAGATCAGGTTTGTGGACTGAACATAAATGGATATAAACTGGTTTATGTCACCGATAAAAATAAACCCAGGCCGTGCATTTTCAAAAAGAAAATTGTATTAGTACGTTCCTCTTTATGCATTTTACCGATGCGTACCGAGTGGTCATAGCATTGGCAGATACACCCCCTCCATCCCAGTCCCTGAAGAACGTAGTAATGGAGTCCTCAAGACGCGCCACTCCAATGGTCATGGGACACGACGCGAATGCCCATCATCATATATGGGGCAGCTCAGACACGAATAACCATGTGTCAATGAGCAGGGGCATAACTTTTGAATGACTACAGAGTAACTGAAGACAACTCCTTTTCAGACCACATGTTTATGGTTTATAACTTAAACGTACCGATAAAGAAATAACAAGCGGTCCCACATTCCAGATAAACTCAGAGCATCAACTTAATCAGGTCGTTGATAATCTAACTAAAGTGTTTCAGCGTGCAGTAAAGGTAGCCGCCCGACCAAGGCGACAAGTAGGAATCCAAAACACCCATGCTGGCCAATTGAATGTAGATCAAAATTTAACGAAGCTAAAAGATCCAACTCTGAGAGTGAATTTAAGGTCTGGCAACAGCGATTTAGTCACTGAAGCTAAGCGCTCCTTATGAAGAAACTTCTGTCAGAAGATAGAAAGTTCTTTAGAGGCCAGCAGACTACGTAAGATACTATATACGTGTCCTAGCAATATTAGCTACATACCCCATCAAGGAAGATGATGATTGGACAGCTAGCAGCGAAGAAAGAACTTCTAATACAAACGCACTTTCCGACGACTAACCGAAGAGAACATAAAAAGCACTATTAGCAGCTTCCAGCCGGTATAAGACAGTAAAGGCCGGAAAACTTGCACACCCACCCGCTCATGTACCACACAATGACACGAGAAGTTGATTTATGTATGTGCAGAAGACGCGACTGCAGCGGTGACATTCAACTCTGGTTAGACCAATGTGCCTATTCCTGGCAATCATAGAGAGTATTCCCAATGAGAACAATTGACTGCGAGTGGAAGTATTCATACACGTCTTTATAACCTAACTTTATACTTGGACTGATAGCCGAACGCCTCCTTCCTTAGCAATATTTCGACATCGCCTGAGTTGTTACCAAGCGCAAACTTGAACAACATTGCTTATTCTCTACCCGTGGATGGCTAGAATTTTTTCAATGGAGTATCAACCTCCACATAACTGACATGTTCAAGCCAGCGGTTGCGTTATATTTTGATGCGTTTGACTATATCCACGTCAATATAGAGCTCGTAAAGTTCATACTTATAAAATTTTTAGTAGACGTCGCCCACGCAAACCGGGCCATAGATCTTGTATAGAATACTTCTTCATAAGTCGCCCAAAACCGCTTCAGCATCGTACACTTTGCAGCTCGTGTTGCGTTGCCCAACATCAGATTAAAGAAGTCGCACGACAGTGAATCAATCGCTTTGTTTAAAAACTAGTTTGGTATCCAAGGGCCCAGGGAGAAACATTCCAATTCGGATGGAGCTAAAAGTTGTGCTCAACGTCACTCTAAATACGTATCCGTTTAAGTGATATTTCAGATACTGTATAGATTTTTGAACATCTGAGTTTCATCAAAGAATGGGTATCCCAGCACAGGTGGAAGGAATAAAACTTCACTGAAAGATCTTTGGCCAAATAAATAAAAGTGATACAGATATCAAGGTTTTAAATGAGTAGGGAGGGACCCAAGCACACCATTCGTTGGCTAAGCTTTAAGCTACGAGAGCCCGAAGACACCATGGCGTGTATTCTTTAAAGTTATTGTGTAAATTCAGGACAAATCTTCCTTCGAAGGGCACCCTTATAATTCTTTCTTTGAACCGCCTATGGCAAATTTTACTAGTACACTTGGTGGTGAATGACAATTCAAACGTAAAATGTTTGACTTTGTATTACTTTAGTTGGAGCAGTTTTCTTGTAAAGAGCGACCTACTAACATGCATGTATATGCTTACATATACATTCATATGTATATGTCTTTTGTATATTAATATAAAGAATGTACATACATGCATACTTATGTAAAAACTTTGTTTTTTGAATGTTACTATCATTTTTTTCTTATTGTCTAGAACCTATAACAAATGCAGTCTACTATATGTGAAGTGAAATTAAAATCGAATCGTCCACGCGCCTTCGACAGCTACTTTACTTAGTTACAGTTATGAGCAATAAAAAAGCAACGGCCTCGAAAATGTGTTTGTAGAGGGGTATCTAAATATCTTGATTCCAGCACCATCTATGTTTTAGGTCCGTTTTTTTGCAGAAGCACTTCTTATCAAAAAGTTAATACCCGCTAATCCAGATCGTACGATAAAGACGGATTCTCTAAATATCTCGACTTTAACGCCTTCTATCGGCACAATTTTTTGCAAAAGTATATTTAACGATGCAGACCATCCGACTTCGTTCGCTTGGATTTTTAAATTGATATTCTCTGAACGTAGACGGTATGCGTTGTGGGAGGTGCTACGACTTCTTGCAAACTCTCATCCCCGTTTAGTTTACAACAGATCATTACACGGCATTCCGCTTAGCTGTCTCTTTGTAATGGGTTCAAGATTATGGTTCTCTAAATTTACTACTATTGGAGGTACCACGCCCCTGGAAAACACACTCCCTTTCAGTTTACTACAAACATTTACCATAGATCTTCTCACCAAATTTCAAAGTCATGTGAGTTTGGGGTTCGAAGAAATAGCAAATGGGGGATTTCACGCCAATGGAATGTGCCGCGGCCCTTATACAAACTCACTTATTTTTACCTCGCTATAAGCGCCTATTTATAGTTATGTCTTCACACTAAATTTCGAAGTCACGTGACTTATCGTTCTTAAATTATTGCTGATTAAAATTTGGCGTCTGTAAGATGTCCACACCCCTTTTACAAACTTATTATATGTATGAATATGGATACTTTATTTTAAACATCTATCATAGATTCACACCAAATTTCAAAGCCTTGTGACTTACGGCTCCGAAGATATTTCTGATTAAAAATTTCACGACAATGGGATGTGCCACGCCCCTTGTTCAAACTCATTCATATATGCCTTACTATGAGCGCTTACCATGGATAAATATGTCTTCATACCAAATTTCAAATTGATGTGACTTACGGTTTCGAAGTTATAGTTGTCATGTCTCTTTTTTTTATACCCTAGGTTACGTCCGAGGTCAGTCTCTATATACCACTTACAAGCCCATGAAAATCCACTTAGTAGTTCCGGAAATTAGTGAGTTCAAACAGGCAAACAATCTACAGTTTTATTACAGTATAGATAATTCCAATTAAAAACGGGCTGTATAAAGAAAGCCAACCAATTTTGACTTCGCGTTAAATGAATTATGCGGTTATATTTGTTTTCTAACCAATGTGAGAAATAAAAAACCGATTTGCAAACAAATTCGGGAATGTAGGCACAAGAAAAGCTGCTTTCCAATAGCTTTCTGCAGCTGGATAGACCATATTTATACTGTCATTATGCTTAACTGAGAAATAAAGCAAGATTTTTTACCCAGTGGCCAACGTACTCTAGTCGGAAAGCCTGGATGTAAACAATTAAGTGTACCGAGCATATAAAATGAATCATAACAATAATAAAAGAACACAAGAAATATATTTACAATCACTGTATAGAGCTTTAAGAATCAGCAACGAATACAACTGAACCCTTGAATATTTAATTACGTCTCCCACGAATTTAGCAAACCATTCGCATTGCTTTGAGAATA